GAGCTTTGAAAGATGCAGGAGAGAAGTGCCAAGTTTCAAAACCAGCTACCTTGATACCAGCTTATCTAAGGAAAATTAATAGCTGCACTCTTTGCCAAGTTACATCCATTTAGGAAACACTCCATCACAGAACCGCTTTGTGTGTTATTTCTTTACACGAAGGAAAACAAATCAGCTCAAGAAACGTCAAAAGACCCACGTACTGCTGTAAGGAGCATGTATTTTGCTGTGCTGGCAATGCAAGACACAGAGAGGTGAGAGTATGAAGCCTGCTAACTGTTCACAAGCCGTTAAATGCTTCCATAGGCTCACGGATCTCTGCCAGTTGATGCTTGCATCAAAGCTGCCCTTTTCTCACCACCTTCTCGTTCAGCAAAGCCCATTCCTATCACTAACGCCTGAGCGTCTGTTTTCTGTACATCACACAAATATGTTCTCCTTTCCCGGGATGGCAGGAATTAACTAGGAGGGGCTCTGAGCAGCACAGGCTGTGCCACAGCTCCCTCCCAGAGACAGGGTCTAGCCCCAGGGCTCTGCACATGACATGACAAACATTGAGGATGTCTGTGAATAACCTTCTAAATAAATAAGGTCAAGTAGTATTAGGGATAAAATTCAGCTCCCAGAGCTAGTTCTAATGGGGTGGAATAAACAAGACACAAAGAGGAGCAGCAGCAGCTAAGATTACTAGCTCAACACATATGTGCTGTGAAGAGCATTGAGATCAACCCTGAAGGAGGTGTGGACATTTCCTGCTTTAGAAGCAGCTTTGGAGAAGAAAATAAAGGTCTGTCTCTTCTCCTGCCCAGATGCTTCAAAGGGTGACTGACCTTCAGGATAAAGCTTTCTAGCACGATCAGAAGCATGACAGATCCCCAAGATCACTGACTATTTTGCCCCCAGAAACCATGTTTCATGCAACTATAAAAACTAATGCAAGTATCCCAAACACTGTTAAAGTAAAACTTCAACTCATTGAATCCTGGTGCAGAGTCAGTCTCATCAACAGCTCTACTGAAAATTAAATGTGATGGGGCTGTAGTCCTGTGGCTTGAGGACCAGCTGGTGAGATGTCAAAAGCAAAAAACAAAGCATGAATGGAGATAAGAAATACTACCTTCAAAACATGAATGGAGGGAGATAAGGGAGCTACCTTCAAGCTGAAGTGTTACCACCCGCAGTACTGACCTGAAAACACAGCTGAAAACACAGCACAATCTGAAAATGTCAAGAGGGGTCACATAAACAGGTCTGAGATCTAGAAATACGAGCTGAAAACAAAAACAGGATTCAGCCAGATAGGAAATCAGGAAAGGTAAACCAGAGACAGTACCTACAGACCACAGAAAAAAACACAGTTGTATAGATATGTCCTTTCTATCTCCACTAGCAACAGCGAAAGTAACTTATGTGGTAATGTAAGTCCAGCCATGGGGGAAAGGACGTGGCAAAGTCCTTACCACGCAGGCTAGGGCACTCTCTGTCCACATAACTGTGTTGCTCAACTCTGACTTTCAGGCAACACATACTACACATGTTTGGTGATACCACCTAAGCCACTGGTTTCTGTCACATGGTTTCATGTCTTTCCAGGATAAATGAAGTGTTTGAGTCAAGGGAGCAATGCTGTGCTGGCCACCCACGTACCCTCTCCTCCATACACACCATCTGGGCAAGAGAATGTGCTTCAGGAAGGACAGTGAATGCATTACTCTAAGGTGGGGTTTCTCCTCAGCACCTTTAAGCCAGTCCTTTTATACCTGTAGGAAACCATGTTTGATTCAGGAAGCTTCTGAGCTGGAAATAAGTACAGGCTTGAACAATATTGACCTACATGCACTTGCCCTTGCCCTTAGTTTCTTCCCACGAACCATGCTGGAGGCAGGACAGGGAGCTGCAGCATCCTTTGGGTGCAGTCATTCCCCTGTGTCATGTCTGGCTACTCTTGAACCCCACATCTTCCTCCAAACACCCCATTATTCTTGACATTTCACAGGTTAATAGGATGGTCATGCTACTGGCTAAAGAAGAGTCTAAGAAAATAAGCCTAAAAAGAAAGTTTAAAGGCGAAGCTCCCACGCAGAACAGCATCTGCTCAGCCACACGAGCTTGGAGCCTTGCAGCAGATCTGACTGAAAGCCCCAGCATCACTATACCACCAACTGTTCCCACAGCTACACAGGAAGATAAATTTAGTTCAAGGAACCTTGTGTTGCTACATTATTTAACAAACAAACAGACGCACTTAAGAGGAAAACACAGGCAGGGACCCAGTTTAGCTGCTGCGTGGGCTGATCAGATCTATGGACTCGAGACTGCTTCTCAGAGTGAAAAGGCCCAAATTCTGAACCTCAGCACCATGCTGCTCTGGTCCGAGCCAGTCAGCTGTGTTAGTCACAAGAAGACTCTAGCATGGCCATGGCATGCCTGGGCTACACTCTCCTGGGCTACTCAGACCAGTAGTCAGGCAGCCATGGCCAAGGTCTCCCTGCCTCTCTGCTACTCAACTCAGAGTGCTAAGGAGCACAGCAAAGAGGCTGTTGGAAGTGTCTGCTGGTGAGGTATGACCCAGTCTGGCTGTGCTCAGAGCCGTGCCCATACTGCAGTTCCCTCTGCTCACACTGCCTCTGGGCTTCCACCACCTGAGGAAGCCCAACTCCCAGCAGTGGGGAGCAGAGAGGCCATGCTGATCCTGCAACACCAGAGGAGGGTGAGGAGAAAGAACCCTCTGCCCAACCAGAACGATGACATAGAGCACAAGAAACCAGGGTCTTATTAATGATCTTCTGCAGAAGGCACAGTGAGAGGAGAGAGGGGACACTCCAACATGAAACTTGTCTCATCCAGTATGGTCTGCAAGACTTCATCCACCTGATCTGACTTAAAGTTAGTATTCTGGAGCTCCAAGTAGGGGAGGATGAATGAGAGAAGCCACCTCACATTCATACGCAGGTTCTTAAGTTTCTCCATAACACTGTGAGCAAGAGGGCAAAAGCCAAGGGAAGAGTCAGTGGCAAGAGCTAGCCATCTGATCTGATACCTCCCATCACATATCCAGCTGCTATCCCCCTTCCTACCAGGACCACTGGGGTTGCCTGCTCCTTTTCTCCATTAGAGACCCAACACAGTGCAGGGGATCCAGCAACAAGGTGACACAGTACAGGACAGACACAGTGTGGACAAAGCACCTTTCTCTAGGGCACCTTTGAAGCTGGACCAGTTATTTGGACTCATCTGGTGATTCCACCCCCTCCCAACAACAGGATCCTCGCTTACAACCCTGTCACCTCTACAGCAGGGTGCTGGATACCAGGGAAGCAGTGTCCTATGGCAACCGCAGCCCACAGTCACTCCTGCCCTCTCCCCCCACTGCAGGGATGACAGGGGCTGCCAACCAGTCAGCCCACAGCTCTGACCTCCTCACATCTTCTTCCTCTGGGCTGCTGCAGGAAACCTGGGCCTCCCTCAGCACCCCAAAGTGCATCTCTGTCTTCTCTATGCATCTGGTCTCTGTGGACTTTGCCAGCTTTGCTTTCAGCTTCTGCTGCACAGCTTGGCAGTAACATGTATTCCTTGCTGCAGGGCAAGCTTTCCATCTTCTGAGCTCGGAGCAGCACCAGTTCCTGTTGGCATTTCAAGAACTCTGTTTTCAGGCAACAGTTCTCATGCTCAGTTTTCTCCTCCTGAAATGGGAGGAGGGTGCATGCACAGGAATTATATCAATTGATGTCATGGTTTAACCCTGGCCAGCATCTAAGCGCCACACAGCTGCTCACTCACTCTCCTCTAAGTGAGATGGGGGAGAGAAATTGGAAGGGTAAAAGTAAGAAAATTCACAGTTTGAGATAAAGACAGTTTAGAAGGTAAAGCAAATGCCATGAGCACAAGCAAAGCAAAATAAAGAATTAATTCAATACTTCCCATTGGCAGGCAGGTGTTTAGAGCCCACAGGGAGTTATTTGGCACCAAAGCCAGCTCAGGTCGGGTCACTGCTGCACTTGCACTGCTTCTTGTGAGGCTCATCCTCCACTGGTTCAGGCAGTTCCTGCTATAGAAACTCCTGTAACATGCTACTCAGATCATGGGTGACAACAACTTAAAGCTCTTTCCATTACAGTCTCCACCCCTGATCCCTTTGGACCAGACCATTGGGTTTAACATTGCCATGAACTCCTGCCCTTGCTCCTGCTCTGGCTCAGACTTTTCCATGGATCACAGTCCCTCGGGGTTGTACCTGCTCCAGGTGGAGCCTTATCTATGTGCCACAGTCTCTCCAGGGCTGTACCTGCTGCGGCACAGACTCATCCACGGCCACAGTCGCTTTGAGGTGCTCCTGTCCCAGCATGGCCTTACCCACAGCCACAGTGCCCTCAGAGATGTACCTGTCCCAGCATGGCCTTACCCACGGCCACAA